CCCCAAAACCCCAAAACCCCAAAACCCCTTCCAAAACCCCTTCACTGAAATTACCTCTAAAGCACATTATTAAGCCCAATCCCTTCTACGCTCCCTCTCTTCTCTGTGCAGCACAGTGAGCTTACTGGAGCATGAACAGCTTTTGCCCTGTCTTCCTACAGTAAGTCAGCAGTACGTGGTGGCCTAGATAAGAGGACTTAAGGAAAGATGGGGAGAGGTTTGGGTTGAGGAAGAAGGTGGGAAGGTTGGGAAATTGAAGAATTTGGGAAACTGCTTTTTTTGGGATTTTATTGAGAAATATGTTAGCACGTGTAAATTAAAATAGGGTTATTAGATTAGATAATTATTTGAGGGAAGAATTTGGTTAAAAGTTTTGATCGATCAGAAATTATACCCGTAATGAGTCAGTTTAAAGGAGCGATCCAGACTGAAATGACCACAAATTTGTGTAAAAATAGATTGAATTTTGGCTACTCACTGATTCATCCAAGAGAATGTGATGCTAAATATATGGAAGGAAGATTTCAAAAGTGTTAGATGGATTAAAAATCTTACCGGGTGCAAGAAAATCTTCAGCAACTGCTTGCAGAAGACAGGTTATAGTTGAGTCTGTGATGTTCAAAGATAACTAAAGCAAAGCTTAGACCAAAGAGTTACTGCTAAATAGCAAGGATACTCCAAAGGTGAAGGTAAATGGGGGAGATCAGGAACATTGAATTTTCCCACACTGAAATCTATCATTTCGCTATCTGTCAGATAGTCCAACTCAGCTTGTATCTCAGAATTGATCGGGAGAGATTTCATTTGAAGGTTCTTATTTGAACTCAGATAATTCATCCTCTCTTTCTATAAAGTATCAGGCCTCTCTGAGTACCATGAAATATCTTCTGAATAAGCTCCTGCTGTAAGTCAGAGTCACTCCAACTGATTTGCTCGTGAAGATCCTGGATGATGCACTCTATAAGGTCAGAGCTAAACCTTACTGTTAAGCAGAGAGACCTTCTTAGCATATTTGAGAAAATCTTCATTAGTGGAGTTCTTCTTTTTGGAACCGAATATGTTGTCCCAGTATCTCGCAATCTTAGAATATTTGTAAGTAGAATTCATTTATTTGTAATTAGAATGGGGTTTTGGGGTTTTGGGGTTTTGGGGTTTTGGGG